GGTGGAGCCGTGGCTGAGGCTGGGTGACAGGTGCGCTGCTGCTGCTAATTGTCGCTGTTGAGTGTGTCCTGACGCAGGGTCAGTGCCCTCCCCGGACTCCGCGCCGGCGGCCGCGCGAGGAAGCCACATCATATAAACTCAACGTCCGAATCCTTGTGTTTTGCAGTTTTAGTGTTTTGGTTTTTTTTTGTTGTTTTTTTTTTGCTTTTCTGCAGCCTCAGGGCGAGTTAGTACTTGGCTTCTAGTAAGCGCTGCGTTAAGTCCGTGGCAAGTCCCGAGGGAGGCAGGGTGGGGAGGCATCTGGCCGAGAGTCAGGCCATTGCAGGGTGGAGCCGGGTTTATGGAAAATTTTGATAATTAGTTCATCCTCGTCCAGCGGTTCTCAACCTGTGGGTCGCGACCCCTTTGGGGTCGAACGTCCCTTTCACAGGGGTCGCCTAAATACATCCTGCATATCAGCTATTTACATTACAAATAATAACAGTAGCAACGTAACAGTTATGAAGTAGCAACGAAAATAATTTTATGGTTGGGTCACCACATGAGGAACTGTATTTAGGCCAGAAGGTTCTAAGCCTTCATCCTGGTCGGTGCCCGGACACCCCCGCTTCTGTCTGCGCCTGAGAAGTGCGGCCGGGGAGGGAGGAGGGTCGCAGGGCGGCTGGACAGAGGCCGCGAGGGCGGGGCCCGTGGTCGTGGGGAAATGGGAGCCTTGCTTTGACCTTGGAACAGGAAAAGAGGCCAAAGAAAGGAAATGACGCTCTGCGCAGCCCCGAAGGCCTCAAAAGCACAGTCAGAAGGAGCTTGGAGGGAACAGGGAGACGATCTTAGTTTGTTTTAAATCTGAGATTTTTCCATTCAGACACCTGGGTCCAAAAGAGCCCTTGGCTACCTAACTCCACCAGCAGAGCCGTCCTCAGAAGGGGGCTCCCTTGCTGTCATCCCTTCTGCCCACATCTTACGAGTCACTTACCCCAATGAATGAGTAACGCACTGACCAACCAATCATTCTTGTTTTGCTGGCATTAATTCGCTCAGCCATATATTCTTCCAATCACATACCCATTTACTTGTACCCTCATTCATTCATGCGTGGATCCACCCACCCGATCACTCATTTCCACCCCATCTATCCATTCGACCACTTGGCCATTGCCATTCTGCGTCTCATTCTGCCCGGCCTCGTGGCCTTGTCCTCGTTCACTTGGCGCCTCCAGGGCAGGTGCCTGCTGTGTGTGCGGCACCCCTGAGCCTGCCCGTGGGCACAGCCTCACCTTGTTGTCGGTACTGATGAGGAGGGGCTGGACTTTGATGCTGTCGCTGACCACGGACACGGCGGCGCTGGGGGCGATGGCGGCGGCATTGCTGGGGGCCGTGGAGATGATGGCGTAGGCCACCCCGGCACTGCTCAAAGACGTGAT